AGTAAAATTCACAGGTGTTTTCTGAGCTTTATGCAAGGAAAAAAATGCCAAAATCCTATTCCTCCAGAAAGTGAAAGGATTATTACTGAGTATTGCTAACAGACTTGGATATTCATTATCTAGGCATATTCTTATATGCAGCTGAATCTATTTCTTTCAAATATATCCATGCAAAATTATTTTAGTGCAGTATCACCTCCCTTTTAAATGTTGTTTTATTAAGCAGCAATTTTCCTGCACAGTGAAAAAACTGGATACCAGCAGAGTCTGCCTGATCGCATCTGTAATGAATGGATATTTTTCAGCCTGTGATTCCCACACCAGCTCACATATTAGATGAATGGACAGCCTGCATCCATCTTGTGGACCATTCTATGAAAAAAATTCCACTTTGTTTGTTGACAACTCTTTGAGGCAAAGGTGTGCCATTTTTGCCTGAGACCCTCAAGACATTCATGTGCAGCTGAAAAGGGTTTTGTCCTTTGTAGCAGTAAATCCTGTCTGAAAATCCACTTCTTAGACCTCCTGATGTAATGACCCTTTCAATCCTTTTTTGTTTTGTCATTGACCACAGACTTGGTGAGTGGGAACAAGGACTTGGGGGACTTTGCCATTTAAATACATAAAGGGGGAATAAAAGTCTTGGTTTATAAAAGAAAGTAGAGTCAGACCCTTGGCTGCTGTGACCCTATGAAGAAGTTTTAATTTCAGCAAATTAAAAAGTAGGTAAACAAAATCAACCCAAAATATTTAAACTTCAAAAAATAATAACTACTCTATTAAATAAAGTGGAAAGATCGTGATATTCTTTTCCTTTGCCTTAATAGGGTTGCTCTTTGTGGAGTATTTTCCATGGAAATCTTTAGAGTTCTTGCTGTCTGGTATTAAATCTTCTTTTAGCTTTTCTGTTGCCTTAAATATATCAGCATCAATTTATTGACACCCAAAATAATCCAATTCCTTCTCAATCCTTTGTGATAGGTGAAACTTCACTGTTTTGGGTTTCATATTGCTGATCCATATATTTCAGACTGGAGGTTGGATTATTCTGTCCTGATTTAGATACCCACAGTGTAGATGTCAACAAACAAGCTGACTGCTCAGAATTCCTTTACACTCTGGGAGAGGAGCTGGAAGTTTAAAGGAGATGGTTAAAATAGGTCAGACAAAACACTTCCTTCACATGTCTGCTTCTCTCTGCTGATATAAAAAGAGACTTGACAATGAGCTCATGTGTGAGGATGTCTCTCCCAGGTTTCTAAAATTAGGGGACATGTCCTGGGTCACTGAGGGGTCGATTTCCTCATTCTGCTCACAGCTGGTGAGCAGGAACATGAGGAAGGGGCACTGTGCCTTTTCAATAAATGATGTAGCTGGAATATCACATTTAGGAACTTACAGGAGGAGAATCATAAATTGCAGTATGGTATTGAAAGCCTAAAGATAAAACAATATTGGGTGCATAATGAAAGGTGATCCAGCACTCAGGAGAGCTGGTCAGGGGGGTGGAACACTTCTCCTGTGAATGCAGGCTGAGAGTAGGGAATGTTCATCCTAGAGAACAGAAGGCTCCAGGGAGACCTTAGGGCACCTTCCAGTACCTAAAGGGGGGTTAAAAGAAGTCTGGAGAGGGACTTCTTGTGTCATGAAAGTCCAAAGGGGAATGGCCTTAAATTGAAGGAGGGTAGATTGAGATTAGATATTAGGAAGAAATTCTTTGCTGTGATGTTGGGGAGGCACTGGAACAGGCTGCCCAGAGAGGTTGTGGAGTCTAAGGCCAGAAATCTGTTCTAGTGGAAGGTATCCCTGTCCATGGCAGGAGGTTGGAATGATCATCTTTAAGGTTCCTTCCAACCCCAAGCCATTCTAGGATTTCATGATAATTAGCTGTTCATATATTTTGCACCCAGTAATTCTCCACCTTTTTTCTTCATAGGGAAATGTTCTTCGTGTCTCTAAGAAGCACTGGAGGAACTGTGCATGGGGTGGTTGACTTTTCTGAAATGCATTCAGTCTGCAAAACCTCAGTTTCTCCTGCATGCTGTCAGAAGTTTTCAGATTTCCTCACCTGGGCAGGAGCTTGGTCATGGGGCAGGAAGGGGATGTGGTGGGAGGCCCTGCCTGGACACTGAAATGGGATAAATTAAGTGATGAATTCCCATTTGATCATCACTGGTCTGAACCATTTTGGGTGAGCTCTGAAATGTGTTGGTTTCCTTTCAAACCACTGGCACACATCCCAGAGGACCATAGCAAGGAGCCCAGCAGATCAGGTGGTTTCTTTTGGGTGAGATCTCAGTAAGAGCTTGTAACTGCCTTGGAAAGCCACAAAAAATCCTCTTTCATTCATCAAAAAAATTCCTCAACTTCATTCATCCAGTGGGCGCACTCTGTGATGCTGTATAACAATTTCACCCATATTTAATATGGGGGCTTTTTATCCTTTGGAGCAGTGGTTTATTACCTTTTTATGCCTGCCTGGGAGTAGTCCCATTGCGCCTAGGAAGGTCTCACTGTGTGGTTTTGTTCATTGGTGACATCAGATTGTGCACTTGGCACTCGTGGGCCTCTCGTAGAGGAATTGTCCTCACCAGCCCCCAGAGACCTTTTTAGATGGAGAAGGAAGTGGGGACTTGCAGCAGAAGAAGTTTTGCCAGAGCTTTACCAGCCTGCCCTTGAAGCAACTCAGATGCTTTCATAAAGAATCTGCTCTGGCACTGAAAGTGTTTCCAGTGGACAAATTCACCTTCAGAGGGGATGAATTATTTTCTCAAGTCACTAGGTGACCAGAACAATGTTCTTTTCTTTTTTCTTCTTCCTGTATATCAGCCATGCTTGAAATAAACCCCTGAAACCTATCCTGTTTTAACAACAATCAGCTGTTTTTCAGTCTCAGACACTTCTACAGCCCTTCTGTTTCACCAGAGATAACTGAAGATTATTTTGAGGAGCTGTTTATCCATAATTGAAAGGTGCAACCCCTCTGTTATTGGCTTTTTTGACTTCACTAATTTTAATTACAGTGGCAGATGCAGATGAAACAACAACATGAGGCATCAGTAATGAAATTACAGGATTTATCAACCAGTGACATCAGAAGAAAATATAATCATTCAAGCTTCCCTTCCAAATCCAATACTGATATCATTATTTCTTTTTCTCAATACTGAATGGCAATGTTTACCAGCATTACCTATATATTTTTAAAAAGTTTATTTTTCTAGCATAACATAGCTGGTAGTAGTTATTTGGGAGGTAGCTGGGCTTTAATTGGTGATAGAGATAACTACCCTTTAATTGATAATAGAGATAAGTAGCACTTAATTAGTAATAGGTAGACTCTGAATGTATGTATAACATACATGAGAGGAACAGCTCAACAGTATAAAAGGTTCTGCTGCAGGTCCAGGGCAGAAGTTCTGGTAGTTGTTATTCCCTGATAAACACTCCAGTCTCCCTGGATGACACGAAGGCCTCAGCCCAGTATTTGGTGCAGGTTTCCATGACTACCTTGAAGGCAAAAAATGAAGTAGATTCTTTTATTTTCCCCGCAATATGTGAGTGAAAAGCCATGAAATGGTTTGCAGATGTTCTTGTTGTCTCTCTGGAAGCTCCTTTGAAACTCAGACAAGACAGAAAACAGCCACCCTCCACTTTCCAAAACTAGGGATTTCCAGGTCAAAGTAGAAAGAGTGTTCTAAAGGTCACCCCTTTTCCCCCAGGGAATCTGTATGTGTCCATCTCTTAGCCAGGCATCTCCCACCCTTCCACTGCATTTTGATCATTTCCTGATGATCCAGTGACAGAATGAAAGGACAGAATCCAACCTCCACACCCCTCTCTGACTTTTCTGGACTGAGCTGAACACAGGAATGCAAATGATCAGGAAATAATTTCAAATCCAAGGGCTGCTAATGCATTTGTCTGGTTTTGTCTTGCTGCTGTTAATGGAATTCCAAGTCCTCACGGCTGAATGTCACCAGGGATGTTTGCTGTCCTCCTCAGCTGAGATCTTATCAATTGCTCATTATTTGATAAACCATCAGAAGTGCAGTTAAGTAATTAAATTCAGTGCCAGAACAGAGCGTGAGCGACTGATCAAGTGAGGATAGAAGAAAACAGATCAGTTTAGAGTGAATTTCATGAATCATTGTTCTCCCAAAATTTAGAGAGAGAGATTAATTTTTCTCTTTTATTTTTTGATTGAAAGACTCTCTCCTTTCTAGATGCTGATGTCCTGGCAGTGTGTTGCAGTCACTATAAAACTTGAGTGTCCTTTGGTTCTGAAAGTCCTTTTACAAATCATTCCTTTACAAATCAAAGTAGGATAATGAGAAATAAATCCAAATCTTAAAGCACATTCCCCCCCAGTCCTCAATTCTTTCGGGGCAGAGGCCAAGCAATGGAAGTCACAGATATGGATGACATTGTTGTTCATATAAATCACTCCTGATTGTGTCCTGGATGAATCCTTAGCCTGAGACTACAATTCCTTCTTTTGCCCCCCTCCTGCCAAGTTCTCAGAAAGGTTATTAACAAGCCTATTAACAGGTTATGAACAAGCCTATTAAAAGGTTACTAACAAGTCTGGGAATGGATTTTGTTATCTGGACAAACTATATAGGGAACCAGACCCCTAAAAAGCCCCCAGACAGTTTTGCTTTTAAGACACTACTAAAAATCATGAAGTGTGAACCACAGCTTCAGAGATGAAGCAGAAAGATCTTTTTTCTTGTTCAAAATAATCCACCCTTCCTCCTCCCCTGGGTACAATTCAGGTGTTTGCAGCTGCAGTACCTGTTCCAGCATTTCTTTGACACAAGTTACTGATCACACAAAGTCCTTTGCCTTTAAATTAGATATCCAAGACCACCTTTAAAACCTGCAAAATAACAAGTGCCAGTTGCAGTTCAAGTGTTGGGTTGTCTGTTTTCCGTCCATTTCTTTTTCATTCTCTCCGTGATTTACATATTCATAATAATTTTCCTCTTTTGTTGCAGAGATCTTGATGTGAAGACCTCAAAATATCAGCAGAGCCTGTGCTTCATCTCTAATCTCACTGTTAATGAGCAAAACTTGTCCAAAATTAGAGGAGAAGATGGCCATCAACTGGAAGGTCTGCTTCTTCAGCCTCGTATTGCTTCCTGTGGTAAGGAAAAATTATTTTATTTGCATTGTTCTGATATAAATACATGTTCTCCAGGCAAGCACTTGCCAAGAGGGAAGGATCTACTGCTGACACTGATTCTGGATTTTTCTGGGTGGTCTCGTAGTTTGGGTTGAGACTTTTCCAGTCTCCTTTGTTAATGAATTAGGACTGTGATCGTTGCTCATCCCGAGAAGGGCAAGTCCATCCCTTGAGAGCATTTGTTCACTGTTTTTAACCAAGATTCAAAATAAAATCAAGTCATAAATAGAAAAACAAACAAAAAAAAAGCCACAGTGTGTCTTCTGTTTCAAATCCATTGGTTTAAAAATATTTTTTTTTCCAGACACAGGGATAAAATTAAAGATTCCCTTCATTCCCCCCCATGAAACCTAAACCTTGAGATATTCCAGGCAGTGCTTTTGGAGGCCTCCATTTTCAGAGGAGCAATTTTAAGAAACAATACCAATGGGCCTCTAAAGATACTAAAGGCACTTCAAGTCATCCATCATTTTTCTGAAGATATTCTACTCTTGATGAAGATGACAGGGATTAATTTTTCCCCACAAGTCTTTACTTACTAGACAACATTCTCTTCCATTAATAACTCTGTGTAAACATGTTTGGGGATTGTAACTCTCCCTCTCCATGGTCCCCACACACAGTGACTGCACATCTCCTCACAGAACAGCCACAAAAACACTGAAAAAAATTTTTTATTTCCCTTTGTAGCTGTGAGGAGTCACACACAAGCCCTGCAATAACCTCTTCTGGCATTCAGCACAATTCTGTGTTAAACCATTGCTCACAAATTTGCTTTTCAGCTCTTCTCCAGGAGCTTTGCTCACGGGGATTCAGTGACAAACTGCACCAGGATTTCAATTCTCCAGCTCGTTCCCCTAAAGAGCCTTCTGCAACTTCCATGCAAATGCTTTACACTTGCTTAATACACAGATATTTTCACATTAGTGCACTTTAATAATCCGTATTCGAAAGAATTCATGACATTTAGTTGGTTTTACTTTTAAATGGCAGCTGTTTATTGTGATGGTGGTGTGACCACAGCATCTTTTAGCAGTTTTTGCAGTTTTTTGCTCTTGTGTATCAATTATGTGGCCTGTCTTCTACAATGCATAGCAGGAAGCACAGAGAAGTTGCTTTTACTTTGGCACACAAAAATATATTTTCTTTCCTTTTGGCTCTTATTTAGAGTCCATTTCACTGCACATCTGAAATGTGGCATAATTCAGCTAAATTCTGTAGAATTGGGTTGGAACTGGTACCATAGATGTGTTCATCCAAATAATACAATCCTTTACATACAAATACATGGCCTTGGAATTTTTATAGAGAGCATGGCTCCTGTGACTCTTCCTTAGACTTCCTGCTCAGGTAGAAATGATTAATTATTGAAAACGGAGTATGTTTAATTTTTATAACACTTCTCTAAAATTGCTAATGAAAACTTCCTCTGAGCTAATGGGGAGGGGGAAAACCCCCCAAATTTAACCCAGTTTAGGTACTGATGTTCATGTGAGATTCCTGACTATAAAAGGAGTTCAGCTCAAATTCAGATGCTGGTGTTTTGGACATAGAAGTGTTGATGACATGGATCCTGCCCTGGGAGAAACTGGAAAGCTGAATTCCTGGCCATGCAAGCATATTTTTCAGGCTGCAACCAAAATAATTAAATTATCATAAGGCAAAAGGCATTTCTGTTAAATGACCAACAGCCTTCATGATTTCAAGATTTTTGGTGCTCAGCTCGAGACCCTTGAAAGGTGTCTTGTTATTTAGAGGTGAACAGTTTTTAATTAAGGGAAATAAATGAACAAATCTCTTGAGCTCTCAGATGGGTGACCTTCCTGGCAGATGGAGAAGGACAGCAAATTCCCAGTTGCTCACGTTTCAGGACATAACTGTGGTTGCTGAGCTGGATAATTAGTGATCAGCTCCAGCTTGTGGAAAGAACAGCTCTTAATGAAATACCAAATAGCAAACCAGAGCTAATAAGAAAAAAGTCTGATTTTTTTTTTTTTTGCTGCTTCTGTGAAGTTTGTGATCTTCTGTATGATTATAAGGTTTTACTGCAGTCTTTTGCAGGAATCCAGACATAAAGTTACCAATTTAGTACACATGAATTTGTGTGTTTGCACACACAGAGCCCACCACAGAGATGATACAATAATTTGTGTGTAAGTATTCATTTCACATTAAATCCCTACATTTCTTTTCACAGACCAAATTTCAGGAATGATATAATGTGATTTATATTTCTTCCCTTGCTGTCATCCTTTTGCAGTTCTTGTGGTAACACATTTCTCTCCACTGGGGCACACCCTTTCCCTGTGAACCATCTGTAAAGTGCTGTGCTGGTGACCTCAAATTGGCACTTTCCTGTCATGCAGATTTTCCAATTTTCTACCAAGGGAGTGGATGTGACTTTTAAAATATTTAAGAGTAATTGAAAGTCATCATGGACTCCACAGTGTTCCTGGAAAAAACTGTTTATATACTGCTTTCCTCCAAGCACATCTGGTCAGACCCATTTTACCCACAAAAGCCCCAAACTGATGTCCACATCCATAAACAAACCAAGAAAAGACAAAAAGAGAACCAAGTATGAATGGGAAATTCCAGGTGGCTTCAAGTATAGGCTCCAGCCAGACAACAAAAATATAATATGCTAAGAAATAATTAAAAATGAGCATTTTGAACCAGTTCTAACTGTCAGAGTCAAGGGTGGTTCAGTTTTTCCTGTGTTTTACAGGCTGCTCTGCATTAACCTAACCTCTGAACCCCTCGGGACTGAAGGCACCACGATCCCTGCAAGGCTTTTAGAGGAATTCTTGAGTTTACTTTTTTTTTTCCTGCCATTTTAAGTGCTTTCCTAGATTTAAATACCCATGTTGCTATTTTAGCTGGTTTTAACTGACTTCTTCTGGCTCAGCTCTTCCCAGTAATTTCCATTCTTTGCTTTGGATGAAACTCTGAACAGCCTGGGATAGTGGGAGGAGTCCCTTGTCCATGGCAGGGGGGTTGGAACAGGATGATCTTTGAGGTCCCTTCCAACCCAAACCTTTCTAGGATTCCATAATGTCTTTTCTTTGGCATTTTGATTTTTCTGACTGGCATTTTGATTGACTTTGCTTTCCATTCATCTGTGATAACACTGGGCTATGTGTTGGTTTGGGTTTTTTTTCAATTGGAAAATATTAACAAAAGTAATCATAAAATTATGGAGAAGAAAGGATCCTGAACCATTATTCCTTTGGTTCCAAATGTACTTGAGAAACAATGAGTTTCATGACTCACAAAGTTGGCTTGGTGTATGAACTGAATTTTAAATCTAACTGCAATGCAGGTGTTCTAACTGTCCAGAATAATTCCTTCTGATGTATTTCTTCACCTAATACTTGGAATTTCTTGTGGGTACGTATTTAATTAAATGTTTCCAGTGGTAGAATATTCAGTGTAATGTTTGATCAGCTGGAAAGAATGTTCTCCTTTTAAAAAAAGAGAGAGAAATATGGGAAAGGGAAGGTGTCAGAGATGCCTCTTGTGTAACAACATTGGAGTGTGATCTCTGAGTGAGAGTCAGGTGGGCAGACACAGATCTGGATGTGCAGGCAGCACCTCGCAGAGCAGAGAATGAAACCTGGATCTGATGAGAGTTAAGTAATTCATGAAGAGCTGAAGAGAGAAACTGAAGTGTTTGCTCAGCCCCTGTTTGCTGCAGGGGGGAATGTTTCTCAGCCTTCTCCGGGTGTGTATGGGCTGCAGAGCAGAGAACTCTCTGTGTCCCCCATTATTCATCCCTGGCTGTCACTCCCAGTGCCAGGCTACCTTCAAATAGAATCATCCACCTTCCAACCTCTGTTATTTTTAAAAGATGAAGAACAGTGCATTCAGACACAATATTCTACAAGTTTCTCTCCCAGCCTGCAACGTTTTTAAGCACAGCCCAAAATATGAGGCTCCTCAGGCACAGACATAAAAGCTTGGATTGGTCCCTGCTCTTTAAGAAAAGCATTTTTTTCCATTCCAGGGCTTAATGAGAGAGCTTTTAATGAGTTTACCTGCCTGGTGATTTGTATCATCTCATAACCCTGTTAGGGAAGTCAAGCTCTCTGTAGGACTGCAGGTTTCTCCAACACAGTGCACAGTTGCATGCGACTTCCCTGTTATTTATGTAATGAAAATATAAATATTTTATATACAAACACAGCCTGGGGACTGCTGGGAATGTTCTCCTTAGGAGATAAAGACTCAGCTAACCAAGGCATTAATGCTGCTGGAGCTTTTCCATTTTAATAGGAGGAGCTGGTCCTGGGGGCAATCTGGAGAAAATAGCAACCTCTTAAAAGTCTTGTCTAAAATAGAAAAACAAAGTCTTTGGATGTGTAATACTTGGTAAAACAGTTTCAAAGAACCGGTTCATAATTCTGGTGTCACAAAAATCATCTTAGAAAATCAGTATGGCAAAACCACAGGGGCCTTGGTACCAACCAGCTTCTAGGCCATTCCAGAGGCACAAAAATTAGGATTTTAAGTCCAGATGGTTGTTACCTTGTCAGTTAGGTGGGATAGGGGCTTACAGAGAATGCCAGAGTGGGAGTGGGATTTCCTCCTGCCATATTTCTAAAGTTTCTGTGGATTTTTGCTGATAAAACTCAGTATTTTTACACTCCTGAAGGTGGTAGGAGCCCTGGATGTTGTGTTGGTGCTGTGTCTGTGCACTGGCACTTGTAACCTCACCTGGGCACCTCATGTGGCAGTCAGGATTGAAGAAGCTAAAGAAAGACACCTGGTTAAAATGTTAAAATATTTTTCATAGGATGGTTTCTGTTGGAAGGGCCCTTAGGTAATGTCGGGTGTCCTGGGCAGGGATACCTCCCACTAGACCAAGATTTTCAGAGCCCTGTCCAGCCTGGTCTTGAAGATGTTTAATATTTTTAAGCTGATTTGCACAAAAAGATGAATGACAGGGGGAAAAAAAAATC